AAGAGGAGATTGGAGTATCTGATTCCCCGTAGTCCTTTCTACTGTATTTTCAAAAGGCAAAACTGCAGTGTGTGCCAAAATTTTCCTTATGAAATGAATAATTGTCATCTTTAGAATGGCACGTGGACAGTCTTTGCTATAGTAATCACGTACATAATTTTTAGCAGCATGATCTCCAGAAGATGGGGCAGTCTACAGACCCACTCTCAGAACAGCCTAAGTTGACTCTTAGGGAGAAACAGATATTAAAGGAAGTTCCAAACAAGTATTGAAAATTACATTGAATAATTAATAATGAATTAATAATTTCTTTTTGAAGATAAATGAGGAGAGCTTTTTTTTTGTCTCAGCTCAGAGAAATAAAAATTGTATTTCAGATACTACTATTTAGCATATAGTCTCTAGCTTTCATAATTATTTTTTTCTGTACAGGTCTTACTTGCAGCTATATTTGGGGGTATGCTTGCTTCTGCTTTACTTAGACCACTGAAAATATTTCATTTTGTAAAGGAAGGGACCATTTTCAGAACTTAGTGCATTTTTTACTTTTCTGCAAAAATATTCAAGTTAGGTCTTAAATGTCTCTCCAGACTCTTAAGGTGCTAAGACATCTTCATAGATCGTGCTTTTGCCAGATTAAGTCTTGGAGTTCACACAAAGAAACTGTACTTTGAACCTGCAAAACTTCTATATAGACAAGAGCAGGCTTAATATTCTTGGTGTGCCATTTCTAGTACAGGATGAACATGAAATATGGCTACTATTGCTAGATAAGCAAGCTCTATAAGCACAATAATCTTTCTGATTTATGATCTCTGCTTGTGGAAAGCTGAGTGGTGCTCTTAAAATAATGCCATCTTGTAGTGACTAATGCTCTAAAAATTAATTGTCAGAATTCCTGAGAGTGGTGCCTGGTTTCTTTTTTAAATAGTGGGGTCAGAGGTGAATGAACTTAATTTATCCCATTCAATTCTTTCTCTATCAATAATTCGTCTAAAAGTAGATCTAATGTTTCTGAGCCTTCCGGCAACTTTTCGTCGACCTTTTATACCCGAGTACCAAAGGAACAATGACCAACAATTCACTGTAAAACTAAACTTACTCTTTCTTTGAACCTATTTAATTTGTCCCAAGTGCATTACCTTCCCTGTTTCTGGGCCCAGCTTCCCAGTAATCAGAAAGTCAAATCCCCTGGATATGCACTTCATTCACCAGTTTTTAATATTACAGTTCTCGTGATCATTAGGGGCATGGAATGTTGATGTTGGAAAAGCTGTGATCAGTGTAAAAAATTTTGATTGTAACCAAAAAGGGAAGTAACTGCATCTCTGTAATAGATTGCCAGATGTGCATAGATGGTAAGGAATATAGAAACTTATGTTAATGGTTTTTAGAATATAAATATATTATTGTGACTGGAAGGGGATGTAAACTGGGAAGGTGTTTAAATTATGAAAAAGCTTGATTGTGCTGCATCTGTTTAAATTACTGAATTTTTTTTTTCCTTTCACTAGCTGTGCAGAAAAAAACCTGCAAACTTTCCATGTATCCCCAACAGGTGTTTTACTGTAACAGTGGTTTTCAGCATTTATTGATTGGTGGAGCTCTCAAGTCTTCTAATGTAGTGTTGGACAATTATAATTTCAGTATAGTTTAATTTGCTGTGTCTTTGCTAGTCCGTGTTGATCTGAATCTGTCACCCTTATAGTCAACAGATCCCTCTTGAGTACCACTGCACTATGATATATTAATTGAGACTTGAGAGTGAGGAGCATAACACTTCTTACATTTTAGACATGTTACAAACTGCAAATCTAGATTTAAATTACCATATGATAGCTAAGTTACTCTTTCAAAAGACTCAGAAAAAATCTTCTAATTTTTCCAAAATACCAAGTTCAATGATACTCACTGTTACCTTAACTTTGTTTTTTCATCTTTTTGCCAACATTCTTTCTTTTTCAATGCGCCACAAGAAACCTGTGTGCATCCCACCCTGTTTTGTAATTAGGTAGGAACTTCTAAGCTCTTACCTAGTTAGTTTGTTCTTTAGAAAGAATCCTGTGTCTGGCAGACTTTCCTTTTTTGTCGTAATATCTTTTCACACTTCTGTTACACTTTCAAGATCGTGACTCTCCATCCTTGTGGTGAGACAATCCCTAGGTCCTCTTACTGTCACAAACTGTGCAAACTAAGGCTGTAGATGAACAGTGTATCTTTCAAGGTATGTATTTGTTTTCTTACTGATAAAATTTATTTATCCTGAAATGTCTTCAAGCAGAGATGTGTAGTTCATCCCTGTCTCATCACAACCTTAATGAATAATTCTGGGTAAGCCTAAGCAGAATCGTTTCCTTTACTTCATATGTAAAAGCAGTGGTAACTTTCAAATATTTGTCTGTCTTCACTGCTAACCATGAGAGCAGAGGTTTGGAGTTGAGTATTCATCTTTGACTTTGCCCATTCCCAGCCAATTTTGTTCACACTGCTCCAACACAATTTTAACTGCACTGAAGCTTTCTAAGTTAGTGTTCAGATTAATTATAGTGAACAAATTTGGGAGTCAAAAGTAGGCATACAGAGAGGTTTGTACAGCATACCTATGAGTGAGGAAAACTATCTTTTTTTGTTAGCAAGCTGCCACCCATGTCAACAATGCTATTGTGACTTTTGAAAACGTAATATAACTTATTCTTTTGGAAATATGCACAAGAGTGCTCTTCCTGAACAGAGACACTATAGGAAAGTTAACCATACATAGTTTTGTCTTAATGTTCCTAATATTTCCTTTTGTAAGCCTCAAATTATTCCAATTACGTGTACACACTTTATACTAGTTGACAAAGTTCATGTTTGCCTTAGAGTTCTCCCAGCCTGCACATATATCTATCTGCACAGGCTTTTCACAGGCTTTTTATATCTTTGTTTCATAGAATCATAGAATGGTTTGAGTTGGAAGGGGGGATGCTATGGGTAGGGACACCTTCCACTAGACCAGGTTGCTCAGAGCCAAATTTCACCTGGTCTTGAACACTTCCAGGGATGGGGCATCCACAACATGTGGATGAGCAACATGTTCTAGTATCTCACCACTCTCATAGTAAAGAATTTCTTCCTAATATCTAATCTAAACTACCATCTCTCTTTGAAGCCGTTCCCCTTTATCCTGCCACTACAGGCTCTTGTAAAAGGTCCTTCTCCAGCTTTCTTGTAGGCCCTTTTAGATACTGGAAAACTGCAATAAGGTCTCTCCAGAGACTTCTGTTCTTCAGGCTGAACAACCCAGCTCTTTCCTACTGTTTTCATAGCAGAGGTGTTCCAGACCTCTGATCATAGTGCATTCTGATCAAAGGTATTCTGAGATCATAGTGTGACCTGGGAAGGGGGATGCACCACCACATCATCTTCAGTGCCCTCCTCTGGATCTGCTCCAGTAAGTTTATGTCCTTCTTATGTTGGGGTCCCAGAGCTGCTGGCCACAGTATTTCAGGTGGGGGTCTCATGAGAGCAGAGTAGAGGGAGAGAATCATCTTCCTCAGCCTGCCAACCAAACTTCTTGTGATGCAGCCCAGCATACAGTTGACTTTCTGGGCTGCAAGTGCACCCTGCTGGGTCACATTGAGCTTCTTGTCCACCAACACCCCCAAGTCCTTTTTTTCAGGGCTGATCTCAACCCATTCTCCACCCAACTTTTCTCATCTTCTGATTACTGTCTTCTGGCTAGCTCTCCCCTCCATCATCAGTTTTAGTTTCTGAGTGAATTATATTTCTTAATATAAAGCAGACATTTCAGCTGTCTGTCAGAATTAATAAAAAAGTTGAATATTATTTATTACAAGCAATGTGGTATAGTAATTTGTTATATATCCCTACTGGTTCACTTGTTTTCAGCGATTTGTCTTTATTTGTGTAATCTCTTAGAATGAATCATTTTGGATAGACATCTAGGTGGTAAAATTTTGCAACAGCAAAAGAGAACTAGGACAAGGAACGATTTAAAAATGCTTGATTTAGGAGCTAAGTGGCATAAATAAGTGTACCACACGTCAATAAGTGCTGCTTCAGAGATGGATAATGTTAAAATTGAGACATAACAAGAATGAACTGATATTCTTTATATCAGTTATACATTTATTATGCTAAATAAAAAATATCATGTCTGTTACTGAGCGAAAGTAATACTAAAATGAGTGATAAGTATCTCTTATGTCTTAAAAGTTATTTCTACATAAGTTATATCTGTAAGTTTAACAATATTAAAAATAATATTGTTAAAATTTCAATTTTATAGTGTTGAATTTTCTTTCCCTATGAAAAATGCTTCTTTAAGGGAGGTGTGTGTGTGAGAGGTGACACATCTAAGGTACTCTAACCCAGCCTTATGGATGCCATCAAATGAAAGTCTGTCCTTGTCTTTCCTTCCCCTTGTCCATATGCTGACACAGTTGAGAAAGCAGAAGAAACATCAAGCAAAATGGTAAAAGCTCTTCCCGCTTTTTATGTAGTTTTCTGTTGGGATTTGTCCCTGAGCCAGGTCACTATGAAGTCTGAAGTGCTCATTCTATTGCAGTTTATTCAAGTGAGGTAGTAAGAGTGTGTAGCTGGGAGGAGGACTGTCTCTTAGCCAGCCTAATCTACACGTTCAGGATGTAGTTTAATGCAATAGACTCAAAGCTATTTCAGGCAATCCATCCTACCCCCCATTTTGTTGAAACACTGAATGTACCTTACTGGTAAGGGCTACTGTGTAACATGGACTAGGATTTGGGTGGATCAGTTAAGAACCAATTCTTTTTGTTCATCAAAGTTGTCTTCTGTGAAGAGGTTTACTCTTAAAACTACCATGACAAAAGGGTTAATAGAATATTTGTGACATAATGTACTTGAGTCTCAAGCTGCAAATTATACAGGAGAGGCTTTCCCATGGTAATTCCAGTGAAGGTGAGCTACAGTAGGGTTCTCTAATAACTTCCCTGTTTTTTTTAACCTTGTGTCTGCAGATGGAGGAGGCGGACCTAAGTGAAAGAGGATTGCCGCAAATCGCATCAATCATGAATAGAGTTAGAAACTTGAAAAACAAATACAGAAATGAAGACAATATCACAGATGAACTTAACTGTACTAAAATCTCAGCTGATACAACAGGTATTTGGTTTTGTTATTCTTTTGTCATTCTGGCAACAGATCTTAACTTTAGACTGAGTGAAAAGATATAGCATTCAGTATTAAGGACCACAGAGTAAATTTTGTTCCTCTTTGTTTCTTAACTGCGTTGCTCTAATCTTGTTTAAAAAATAAAATCAGTAATTGTCTTGTGGGATAGTATTTTCTTTCATTCATATTTGCCTTTTTAATCAATCATTTTTTGTTTTTATGTCAGATAACTCTGGAACTGTTAATCAAATAATGATGACAGCAAATAATCCAGAAGATTGGCTGTGTTTTTTGCTTAGACTAGAGAAAAAGGGTGTTCCTCAGATGGATGTTAGCCTACTGAATAGACTCATTGGTCGTTACAGTCAAGCGGTGACTGCATTGCCTGCAGAAAAGTACAGTGAAGATGAGAGCTATGCTCGCATCCTTGTGAGATTTGCTGAGTTGAAAGCGTAAGTATAAATTTTCAATATAAGAACTCATCGTTCTGTGCTTGAACTATGACAAAAATACCTTCTTTTGTAAGTGGTTTCTGCAACAAATTATCATTGAGTGTGTATGTCTTCTTATTGGCTGTTTGAAACTGAGCAGCTTTGGTGAGTCAGCTTATCAGTTGTCTCCACAGTGCTTGCATTTTTTGTATATGCTAATAAGCATATACAAAGATTGTTTGGAACTGTTTGATTTAGAGGTGTTAACACTTTCTTTTTTCTTGGTTCTATATGTAAGGTGCATGGGCAAAAGCAGGAGACTATATTTTTTCAGTTTTATACTACTATGCTTTCTCCCTTGCTAGTACTCCGCGCAGTTAAATTAAATTAACTAGGTTAGGATAGGAAGAATGTCTCAGAACATTGTTCTGTACTTCCATACTTGGAAAATTAATTTTGATTGTAGTAATTTATTGCTTTATTCAGTCCAGACTTGAACAGTGTGGTTGTTCAGATGTGTTCAGACGTAATTTAGGGCAGGGTTATAATGTGATTTTTTTCCATAAGGGGTTCTTCTGAAATATCTTGAAACATCATTACAGCAAATGTTTTGATGAAGAACTGTAGTTGAATATTGCAGCAATATAACAATTATTGCTGAGCAGGTAGTCTTCCAGTGAACATGGCTAGTCTTTTTCTTGTATGTCCTTCCTCTATTTGACTTTTTGGCATGTGGCTTTGTCTTCCTGTATAATTGTCTACTCTTTGTACTGTCATTTACATGGGTCTTGCTACATCACTGTTTACTAAAAGCGTACAGTGGAAGTAATCTGTTGAATCCCCTGTTGAGAAACAAACAGAACTGAATAGTGGCCTTCTTGTGAAACCTTAGTATCTTGAAGAAGTAAGGTGTTTATGTGTAATTGGAATAAAGAATCTCTTCCAGAAAGACTCCAAAGATACTGAGAGATAGCATTCTTGTTTAAATGTTAATTACTTTTCCTCAGAACAGAAACTGTGTAACATAGGCTTCTGGATCATACTTTGTGGAATTTCTTTTCCAGAATAGAAATTGGAAGCTCTTATCCAGTCACATCTTTTATCTCGTTATAGGAGAGTTTAAGTTCAGAAAGATTATTTCCCTAGTCACTTGGATCTATTTCCACTTGATCCTTAGAACATGGCTGAAAAGCAAATACTTCTAAGGTGTACATAAGAGTTCAGTATTCTGTGTGTTGTATTGCAGAAAGTAAAACTGAAGGTGCTGTCAGATAATATGTCCAGTTAATATGTATGTTAATGTGTCAGTTTGTCTAGCACTATGTATTTTGTCTGTGCTTGGTTTTAGCTCCTGTCAAAGAAAATCCTGTCATCTCATGACTTCCTAGAGTGCTTCTGGTTTATTTTTTTAGCTATTGCAAATAAAGCAACACTAATAGGTGCTCTGATGATGCTGCCTTTGGTGGGAGAAGAAATATGCTTTTCAATAGAGTTCTGCTTGCCGTTCTCCCACATGTTCCATCTAAACAAGGTGGAAAAGAAAGTCAGCATCACAAACTTCAGCACCAGTGGCAGTAGTTTGAGATTTTGGTGTCTATTGCCATCAACATTTTCTTCTGATCATAGAATCATAGAATGTTAAGGGTTGGAAGGGATGTTAAAGATCACTTAGTTCCAACCCCTTCTGTCATGGGCAGGGACGCCTCCCACTAGACCATGTTGCTCAAGGCGTCATTCGACCTGGCTTTGAACACTTCCAGGGTTGGGGCATCCACAACCTCCTTGGGCAACCTGTTCCAGTATCTTACCCACCCTCATAGTACAGAATTTCTTCCCAATATGTAGCCTAAATTTCCCCTCTTTCAGTTTGTACCCATTATTCCTTGTGCTATCACTACAGTTCCTGGTGAAGTGCCCCTCTTCGACTGCTCTATAGCCCCCCTCCAGATACTGAAAGGTTGCTATGAGGTCTCCATGCAACCTTCTCTTCTCCAGGCTGAACAGCCCCGATGTTCTCAGCCTCTCTTGAGAGGAGAGGTGCTCCAGCTGTCTAATTGTCTTTCTGGCCTTCTGGATCCCTTTCCCCACCCACGACGTGGGGGAGCCCAGTTCTAGTTCCATCTCCATCTGAAGAACCATTCTGACGTCTTGAGGGATGGGGAAAGGGAACTCCAGCGCCAGGGGTTTCTCAGGCCCCAAGCCTGGAGGGGAGAGGTGCCCTCTCCTCCCCCCAGCACCCACGTAGTTCCATGGCAGGCACAGAGACAGCACACCGGCATGGAGAGGAGGCAAGAGAGAGTTTATTGTTGGGGATGTTACATTTATAGGGTTTAGGAGGATTCACAAAGTAACCAATTAGAAGTTTCAAGGGGTTTACAGAAACACCCAATCACAGGAAGGGGTTAACAAGGTCCAATGGGAAACACCTTAGGACACCTTCCCAGGACATTCCTGCATGGGAGATAACAGTTGCTGTGGGGGGTGTTGGGAAGAAGAAACACGTGTTTGCAAAGAGACTACCAAAAGCCATTTTAAGACATGTTTAAACAAGTTTCTCATCAGATTTAGTGCTGCACTGACCCTTGTCTGGACTCTTGCCAACAGATCCATATCCTTATGCTGGGGGTCCCGAAGCTGAACACATTGTTTAAGGTGGGGTCTCACAAGAGTGGAGTAGATGGGGAGAATCACCTCTTTTGACCTGCTGGCCACACTGCTTTTGATGTAGCCCAGGATACATTTGGCTTTCTAGGCTGTGAGTGAACGTTGCCAGCTCATGCTGAGTTTTTCATCAACCATCACCCCCAAGTCTTTCTCCACCCAATGAGTAGGTGTGAAATTGGATTATTCCATTCTTGGCACTGGACCTTTATTGTCCTGGTATCTTCTCTAGCTGCAGTCTGCTTTGCCAGTACCTTTTGACCAATTATGATAGTAAGGTTGTCTGAAGAACCTTTGAATGTACTCTGAAATAGTCAAAGGCAAACAGTGCATCTGTGTCTCATCTGTATTGTACATTAATCATGCCAGGCCTGCTCTCACATAATGCTTCTGACTATAGCACAGTGCCACCAAGTGTGTGGCACTTGATGCCTATTGCTAGTGCATTGGGTCTTGTTCTTTGTATTGCTATCCAAACTGTTACTGCTTTCTATTGGAACTTAAATTTTAACATAATCTTGGAAAGTGAATGTAATTCATGTTACAGCCTTATTTCTTTGGCTCAGACTGCCTGTAGATGGGTTGTTCCATGCCTGTCTTATTGCTTTGGGTGATCAGAGATGAGTTCACTAAACTTACTGGAGTCTGGTAACATGCCTAAACTATGATAGATTATCTCATTCTTAATTCCACAGAATTCTGCTGAAAATACGTTCTCTTTTGTTTTTCATGTTGTATTTTTCTGTACTTTTATTTTGAATCATTATCATAAATCTTTTCCTCTTCCCACTTTTAAGTGGTACCTTTGCTTACCTGTTGAGGCAGGTGGAATTTTGAAAAGAATTCCTTTATCTCTTGATTATGGATGTTGCTAGTAAAAGTGTTATGCTCTTTTTTTTAATAATATTAAAAAGGGAGAGTGAGTTTGTTGAAACATAAGGTTAATTTGTTATTTCATAGTGAGGTAGGTTTAGGCCTTTTGTATCTTGATTAGTATTAACGTAGGCTGTAGTTCTTCTAGAATATTTAAATGTTGGTGTACTGTGTGTGAGCACTATCCTACTTAGCAATCTATAGCTGAATGTAAAACTAGGATTAAAATTTGGTGAAAATGAACAAACTATGCAGTGTGAAATATCTTATCTGGACTTTGTGGCTTAGTCTCTACATTTTGAAGTATACCATGCTTGCCACTGCTTCTTCTGGCATGTCTGCAGAAAATAGACTTAATCCACATTGTGCTACCGAATTTCACTGATGAGACTGTGTTGTCTAGGAGTAGGGGGAAAACTGAGTTACCTACATCTGGTAAGGAGTTGGTGTTCCCACAGAACCCTTAATAGAGGTGGTTATTGGATAAATGCTCTCATTGTGTCCTGGTTTTCTGGTCCTATGGTATTTTAGATGTACCTGCAGAAATAACTTCTTTCAATGACCTACATCTCTGCTAAGGGAATCTGACTGTTTGGGTACAGTTGCAGAGGCTCTTCATTGTAGAACAGCTCAACCTCTAGCAGAAGTTTGTAGTTCAATATTGATTTTATGTAAGGAATTGCTGCAGGCTATAACTAGTAGTGTATATAATGTTTCTTCTGACTTGATTAATATGATACATTTTTGCATTCTTGGTATTCCTAAAGCAATCTCCTTGTCCTCTGCCTTGCAACCTCCTTGTATAGGAGTAGTTGTGTCTACAAGAATGGTGATGTTTCTCTGGAAGGGCTACAGGTGGGTGTTCTGTACTGGTTAGTGGGTGCTCCAAGGGAAAATATCAGCATATTTTGAGGCATTATATAAGCAGTAACAAGGAATGAGTCCTTCAGCTTTCTCTTCTGGGTTTGAACATTTTCTGGATTTTTTGAAAGGTTCAGCTTTATGTATTTCAATTATTAGCTTTCTAAGGTTTGTTGCGTATTTGTAGTACGCTGATTGTTCTAAAGGAGAGGAAAATCTTTAGCTATAGATGGTTTGTTTTTCCAGAGTTATCTAAAGCCATTATTCAGCACATGGAACTTGTTTCTCAAGCTCTTCACCTTTTATAACTATTAATATGCTGTCTTTACAGTCTTCAGGATCCAGAGGAGGCACGGGACCAATTTCATCTGGCCAGACTGAACTGCAAGAAATTTGCTTTTGTGCACGTGGCTTTTGCACAGTTTGAGCTATCACAAGGTGTGTAAAAAAACTTGTTTGGTGTTGCTGTTCTGTGTTATTCTAGGTTTTGTTGTCATCAACTTCTTCTCTGTTACATTATTTGCAAGGAAACTGGTAAGTATTAAATCAGAAAGGAAAAAAAGTTGGATTTTCTTTTTTTGAATGAAATTTATTGAGAATGTGGGTTCATTTTTGAATGAAAATATGCACACTGTTCATGATAGTGTTTTCTCCTTTTTAGAAATAACTTTCAAACAAGACGAAAACTGTCAGTATTTTCTCTTTTTTTAGCTTAGATCTTGCAGTGGAAGGTTTTTGAATAAGGCTGTTGCTGCATTGAAGAGCGATGCTCAAATTTGGGTGATGATTTCCCTTTAGATACTTTGTTTGCTTATGGAACAAATTCTGTCTTCTTCCAAACAGCAACTGTAGATTCTTGATATGTTTTTTATTAAACCAGAATACACTATCAATGTGCAGTTTGGTTGCCTGGTACTTGGTAGCAAGGCTGTGTTGCCTGCCGGTAGGGTATTTTTGGGTTTCTTTTCCTTCCATGGGTGATTTGAACAGTGATCTCTGTCACCCTGTTTATTTCTTCCTTTAACATCTTGCTCTATACAGAAAGACAAGCACATCCCATTAAAACTGTTTTCTTATTTGAAAAGAAAAGGCTTGGTGGATATATCTTAATTTTTTTTTTGTGATTTGTTTTTCTTTGTTTGTTTGGTTTTTTTTTTGTTTTTTTTTTTTTTGTATCATGCAAGCTGTTGTATACTGCCTAGTATGAGAACTCCCCAAACTTAGCTACAATAAATAATTAAATGAAATTAATCTGCCTATTCTACACACTGGATTCTGAATACATTTTACATTTTTATTTCTCTTCATTTACTTCTGTTTATTTTCCACTGGTAGTGGTTTTCTCTATAAATTTTTCACTCCAGTACTATTTTTTAACTGTATTTTAGGATACAATTTAGATGTTCAAAGGTGTCCCATGACACAGAGCCATTTTGTTAAAATCAATAATAGATACTCATTTATCCTCTCACATCTTCCAGTTTTTCTTAACTGATAAGTTTATTTGTAATGGAGCAGGACAGTCTGTGGAAACCCTCCTCAAATACATGCTATGTAAAATAATTGATGGAGGAAGTTTACTGAATATGACTCTACAGGATGGGGAGAAGACAAAAATTTGCATATTGTGACTTGAAATTACAGTCTCTCTGTTTCACATAAATCAGTTATCTGACCAGTCTTGTTCTAATATAATCTTGTGGTATTGAACTTCTAAACAGTATTAAATAAGCTAATTGTTGCTTAGTGTAGCTAATAATTTGCTTAGTGAGCACTGTATGTTTATTTAAACAGATAATAAGACACTAATACTGCAATAATAAAGATATTGTTAAATAAGTGTAATAAAACCTATTGTGTAATTTAAGTGTAGAAATATTGCTACAGGTTACCAGTGACTAAATTCATCCTGTAGCTGTGGGATGTTTTCATGCAATAGTTTATCTTACTTTGACAGCAAGTAGTTAACGTAAAATGAAGTCCTAATCCCAAAGGAAATAAGCCAGTTATGATTGGCTTTGTATCTCCAGTGTGCTCTCTGATTTGTATCTGTTACCCTTGAGCTGATCTAGGTGTCACTTGGAAATGTGTATGAGGCTGTAGTGTCCCTGCTGGGTGCTTCAAAGAGGATTAACGGAACATGTGATTTGTACAGTGTTACTTAAGAGGGCCCTTCCTTTTTCACTGAGTGTGTCCAGCTTAGGCCAGAGGGAAAGGAGGAGAGTAGTGCTTTGTTGCCTCCTCATCCCAGTCATTTCAGCAGTGCTTTGGCACACCTGTCAGTATTTCCCTTTGCATTAAGAATGCAAAGTTAGTTGTACATTCACTTCCTTGGCTCACAGTTTTGCTCCAGATAAAGCTCAAGTTGAAGTTATGAAATTAGAGTTGGCAAATTGATGTCGATTTCTTAATAATTGAATATTGATGGTCTGAAAATGGAGTGCCATTTTGCTTTTTTTTACTTAAATACTAACTACCATTTCGTTTAAATAGGTCAGATGAGGATCTGTCTTGTCCTTACTTGGGTGACTTGGGTAGTATACTTGAAGCAAAATTTGCTGTGAATTGGTCAGAACTCGTAACCGTAGATAAAACTCTGCTTTTGGCTATGTAAAATGTTATGCTAAGGTGGATGAATCAGGCTTTTGGTATGTGGCAAAGTGGACTGATTGAAACTCAGAAATACTTCTGACTTTACTTTTGTGCTTTGGATCCTCATCTGTTAAGGGGGATGAAGCAGTTAATTTTTCACACGGGTGTTGGTGTCACGCTCTTTCTTACTCAATGAGACATATAATAATAGGAGGAATTACTTTCGAGTAGCAGGTCTTGTTGAAGCAATGTGTGGTTACTAAATATAGCCAAAGGTAGAACCACAGAATGCTGGTTAAGGATTCTTAAAGCCCATGCACTTGCTAATGATTTGCGAGAAAAAACAGTGTTTGACTATATGGTTAAAAACCAAGTTACAACAAATAAGCACAAAATAGATTTAAATGAAAGCATAGCCAATCTAATTTTGGTGTTTCCTTGTTTTGGTGTCTGACATCACCCATTTAGTATTCTTAAAATAGGTTACTTAAAGCATGAGTTCTTAATATGTACACTGCAGTCCCCCCAACCTGAACTGCAGGCAGCATTGACATCTAACTTGAGTTACTGGTGGGGTTTTGAGTGCTGGAAACATGGTGCTCTTAAATATGCTGCTATATAATATTAGAAATAATTAAGTATAAATGTATGTGGTACCGGTAAGAACAAAGTGGCTGATGTTCTGCTGCTTTGAAATTGAGGAAGAACAGCATTTGAGATTTCAGGGGCATTGACAACTGTAACAAAATATTGCATCATTTTGCACTGATGCTCTTTAAACCAGGGAACATATTATGGTTGCAGTACTCTTCTTTCCTTATTTGACTTTTACTTTTTTTAATGGTTGTATGCGTGCGTGTAAATTGACGGCTTCTGATATGTTTTGTTAAAACACTCCCTTTTCCCTCCCAGCTCTCTTCAATATTATCTGCTTATGGCATTTAGTAATGTCTAAAATTGTAATGAAACCATATCTTTGCTTTTCACTCCTCTTTTCTTAACTGTAGTGCTGCCTGGAGTAGTGATGTTTTATTTAATAGCTGCTTTTAAATTTGGTTTCTATTAAGTGCACTAAAGATGTTTTATATATGTAATAAAATTTTTGTGTGGTCAGATCTAAATGGGAGTTCATAAAAGTTGTATTTCCTTGCCGATACTACAGAAAAAGTGGATTTTAGAATATTTTGTACTTCCTTACAGTTCCTGTAACACTAAAAAGTACTGAAAATGCATATTTTGTGACGTGGTGTTCAACTTAATGTGAAAAATTGACTTACATGATTCACTTTTAACTTGTTCCAGGCAGTATCCTTAAAGTGAATATGTAAGGGGAGAAGTGCCTCATGAACAATGGCTTCATAGAATGATGTATATATAAGATAGCATGAATATAACCAGCTCATTAAAAAACAACATTGCCCTGGTGTAATTGTTTTTCACTTACTTGATTTCTAACTCTGTGTTTCTTACTACTTAGAAAATGAGAAGAAGTGTAAGCAGATCCTTCAGAAAGCTGTGGAGTACTCTGCTGTTCCACTAGAAATGTTGGAAACCGCTCTGCAAAACTTTCATTTGAAAAAAAAGCAGTTACTTTCAGATGAGGACAAGGAGAATTTAGCAGGTAACTGCAGTTTCTTAAAATATTAGTTGAGTTTATACCTATTGTAATATTAGATTGGAAAAAAATCTGTAGTGTTTTTCCCTTCCAGATAAGAACTCAGAATCTGCTATTGTCTAATAAACAGATATATTTATTTATCTTATCAATCTTACTCCATCAGTACTCTTTTTTATCTTCAGTGCAGTGATAGTAGTTCCCAGTGGCCATGGGATAGTGGGTTCTGTAATTCTGCAGAGGGTGTTCCTCTGACTGTCATTACATATTTGTAGTTTGTAATAGAGGCTTACAGCTGGAAGTGTGAAATAAGAGCTGCTCTTGGTAGAGAAGAAATAGAACTGAAGCATACAGACTAAACCATACAGATAGATTACTTGGAGGTGTATCTTCTGACACACTGAGGAAGTGCTGGTGGTCATTTCAGTGAAGTCAAATCTGGGAAAAATAATCCATTTCAACTTTATTTTACATATGGACAAAACCTATGTGTTTATCAGTACTAAAGTGCTTGGCTATATCGTAAAACATAACTGATCCTGATTGCTGGGTATATAATTCAATAAGGGAATAGTTATCTATTGAAGTTTTCAGGAGATAAATTTGTTTGGAGTGGAATTGAGCAAAACACGTGGTTTGACTTAAATACTGAAGTGTGTGTAGCTAACTCTTCCAAGAGTGTTGTCAAACACTTCCATGTTTTCGCATTGTATAAGGACAGAATGTAATTTCCTTAGGGATATATTTTCACAAGTGTGGTTTGAGATTTGCCTGTCTCCTATTGAACCAACCTCTGAGTGAAATGCTAGTTGGGCACAGGGAGAAACTCAAACATTTAGGAACAGTTGTAATATTCAGATATAGTATTAGTTTTTAATCAATTTTATTTTCTGTCCTGTTCCATTTTAGCTGAGGGAATGCCTCTGAGAGAACACATGGCAAAACCCTGTGTGCCAATTAGGAAGCAGTGAACTTTGGGGCAAGTGTAGGCTTATTTAGTTTTTCACCTACATGAGCTTGTAACATTAGGTACTTTTGTAAAATGCTAAATCGTAGCTGAGTTATTTAGAGATAAAAATTCAATATATGTTTTATTTTCACAAAACTCATTATTAATGTAAACAGGAGTTGAATTGACACTTCATTATAAGATTAATGTGCAACTTCATATAACTTTTGCCAGAACTTCAATAACCAAGCAAGATTTTCTACTGGATTAACATGGGCTGTTGAATGAGCTGAATGCTTGATATTCCCTGACCTCACACAGCTCATAAGACCACTCTCAAATTTGCTATCAATGAAATCAACTGATTTAATTTAACCCAAATAATTGCTTAGAACAATTCAGTTGAATTTACCTGATATGAATTAGGGATTATTCTGAAGTGTCCTAATCTGAATGATTCTAACTATTTTCCTTACAGTATCAAGCACACAGGAGTCTGGACTTCAGAACATAGTTGGAAATCACAGAAGCATAAAAAGAAATGATTCTGGTGAAAATTCTACTCTTAACAAACTTTTTTCTGGGTAATGTCTTGATTTCTTATTTAATTTCTTAAAACATAATTTAAACCAAAACCAAACATGCACACTACAGTGTTGCTTGTTTGGTTTTGAGTTTATTTTGTGTGATTTTTTTTTTTTCTTCAGGGAAGAAAAGTCCCAGGAACTTGGTGCTCTAGTTAATTATCACAATCCATTGAGACCACTAAACAAATCTAACCAGGTAGAACATGTAATGTTTTCTAAAAAATCTTCAACTCTTCATTCTACTTTACACACCTGATAGCATTCCATTTGCTCTTAGACTTGCCCATTTGGGAGGGTGCCTGTTCAACTGCTGTGTGATGATGGTGATGATGTGGAGAATTCAGATGTCATCCCACTTACAGCTAGTGTTATGAAGAGGTATGGTTGTTTGGTTTACTACAGCACGACAGATTTTAATACTCCTTATCAAGATTGGTTTATTGGTTAATGGAAATGTCAAATGAAAGAAGGTTAAAATTGACCTGAAGATACTAGTCAAATAGTCATTATAGTTGCAAGAGATATGGCAGTATAACCTACTTCTGATCTTACTACTCAGATTCCTTGTATGAAATCATACAAAGATAAATTACTTGTTCCAACTAATCAGCAGGGTCAAAAGAAATGGAGATTCAGGCAAAAATAAATTTTGTTCAAAATATCTTCATCTTTGCATATTCCAGTTTTTAAAATTAGATAAAAGATAGTCTTGTAACTTTCAAAATATTTTTAAATCCTCATTTTTAACAGACTTCTTTGTATTGTTTCTCACTTCTGTATTAGAGTAGACCTGCTTTTCTGTATATTTGAAGCTTGTAGCCAAAAGTCTTCACACAACTTCCTTTTTCATCTAGTTGTAATTAACAATGTTACTTCAATAGGCAGACATCCAGCTCCAAATGTACCGCTTTTGTTGCTCCTCTTCCACCATCGGAACCAAAATCTGATGGGTGTGATTCATATGACCTGGGAGACTTACAGGTAACTTAAATATCTTTAAAATATATATAAGGAACTTGTTCTGGCTATCCTATGGTATTAGAAAGAAAGATACAACAACACCTTTTTCAATTCAAGAAAGAAAGAAGGTGTAACTTCCCTTTGTTGAGTAATCAGTAGTAGATAGAAACCTTCATTGTGGCTTTTAAATTTGAAAACTATTATGCCTAATCAGGCATTAAGAAAGAGCTTTCTCTAAACAGTACCTCTGATGGGATAGTGTTAGAAATCATTATATGATTTGTGAAGAGGGGATAAGCAGATTTTAACTTGACTATGGGAGCTCTTTCAGATGTTGTCACAAGTTTTAGCATGAGAAGTACTCCATGTAATGAATTCCATTTAACTGAGTTTTTAAATGCTTTATGGAGCTGTAAATTATGGCTTTTGATAGAGGTTAGTTTTCAACTATAACCTTGCATTTTCATGTCCCATATCCTTATTTCCCAGAAGAAAATTCCAGAATAGAAAGCATTTGGGCCTTTATTACAGAAACTGGATTGTGGAAATTCAGAGGGTTGATGTATTTCAAAGTAGCATCAGTAATACTTGTCTGTGTAACCTGCACTGTTTTCTGAAGCATATTTGAAGATGCTTTGTGACGCATCTCTCATTTAATTACCATAAGAAAACGTCTTTTGGATACTACTCTTGAGTTCTTTGATGCTTTTAAGATGCTTTTTATGTTCTTCAGTCCTTACAAGAAAAAGCTTCCTTACAGTTGCAGCTGTTGAATGAGGACAGCTTAGAAACTGCCAGCAATTCAACTGTAACTCTCAAACCCGAAGTGGATACCAGTCTTGTGAGGAAAAGAGAAGGTAACTATTAATGAGATGTGTGAGTAGTTTGAAATAGAAGAAGCATTGAGAATATGCTGTCCTGTATTTTTTAAAAAAATTCTAAATAAAATTAATAAATAAGTTGCTAAATAAAATGTTTTTCAAAAAGCAGAAGTTGATCTGATTGGAATTGGATTATTTAATTAAATGTTTTTCAAAAAGCAGAAGTTGATCTGATTGGAATTGGATTATTTAATTAAAATTTGGCTTTTGCATGGTATCTGTGATAGTTTTGGGAAAAATATAACCCCAAAACCCACAAAAATCCCAGCTGTGACACTGTCTAAAACTGCAGTGCTGGGCTTCATGTAAAATGCCAATGTATAGTGCTAATTCACTATTTCCTTACCTCTTGCAATACATATAAGAAATAGGCATCAAAATAGCAACACTGCAAGCTTAAGATTTGCCAACCTGAGAGTGGTGTCAGGAGTGTCAAATTACAGTGCTAATTTATACTACAAAGAAAAAAGTTAGAAAAATTCAAATGAAGGACTATAAAATCCTTGAAAGGTCTGTTTAGTTTTTAATTTTGGTGGGTTTTTTTGGAGACAGGTTTGCTTTTCCTATGACTTTTCTTGTGTATGCTCCTAGTTTACCCTATAGATGCTATAGATCTAACTTGGTTTGTTGAAGCTTAATCTTGAGATGGTTTTGGCTAAAGTAAGCTTAAAAAGGTGAGACGTTGTCTTTCACTTAAGAAGGTGCAAAACTCCTACAATTCTCTATGAATGCAGAATATCTGCACTATCTGTTGTTTTCAGCACTCTTCTTTCTGTCCTGTTTACCCATTAGACTGTGAAACTCTAGGTAGCTTTTTCTGCTGCTGTTTATGTATCGGAGACTATTTTCTTATTTTAGGATTGTTCATGTATTTGAGTTACTTATTTCTACTTTAGTCAGCCCTTTCTTGTGTTTTTCTTGGTTTCATCTGTTAAGTGTCTGTTGTCTTTGGTCAACTTCACTGCCCCATGCACATTTACTTATAAATTTTAAATTTATGTCACTTTGAGCATTAACTTGTGTAATACTGTGTTTTCCTCACCTGAGTTTTATCACAGCATAGGCATACATCTTAATCTTTGGGCTAAGTGTACATTAAATAATTTAATGTCATAGTTACTTTCTTATGAGGATTCTCAAAAGTATTAAAGCACTTTGTCAAAAGGCAAATTGCCCTTTTTTTCCTATATCCTGCAAAAAATCCTGAATTATTTTCACCTTTTTTTTTCCTATACTCAGTGCAATCCAGTTTGTTAAATTATATTGCAGGAGTCCATTTGTTTGAAAGAATGACACTTATACTAAAAAAATGTGTACTCTTTAGAGGCTTATTAAATTTCAGTGTCAATCAAATGTGCTATTAACATTTTTAATTACTGTAAATGCTTTTGCTTTAAACAGGTTGATTCAACCTTAACTGTACTATCATTTTTAGAATTTTAATCCTTTAAAGAAATCTAAGTTCTACTATCATTTGAATGACTGAGATATTTACTGCATTATTAACATACTTTTGGGGAATTCTTTTAAAGTTCTTTTAAAAAGAGGCAGTTTGGTTTATTGTGGAAATGAATACTTCAGTAGATATTGGGTTATCTAATGCATAGATTTGGATTATTGTGTGAAGTGACCTTATGACATACAAATACGGTTGGCAAAGAGACCACCTTACATTGTGATCTTTCTGGGAAATTTTATGACCAACTCAGATTTATAGCAAGTATTTCAGGGCTAGAAAAGTTCAGAAGGTTGCTGCTAATGATTTTCCACCAGCACCATGCAATATGGAATGCTTGTACTGATCTTTTACAGTTACTTGCTACTTCAGTGTTTCATCAGAAATCTAGTTCCCTAAAGTGGCTTTCTGATCCTGCTGAAGAAATTAGGTGAAAATGTCTAATGTTGTAAGAGTTGGATTTAGGATTATGTATATGTACATATGTATTGTAGGAAAAAAAAAGATTTCATTTGAAAAATGGTGATCTTCAACTTCAGTGTCCCCTCAACCTCCCATTGAAATATTTCTAACTGACTTGGATTGGGAACAGTTTGAGGGTCAGGTCATACTTTCTCTGTGCTTCATTCAAGCTTCCAGCTGAAGTGCACTCAACTGCTCATCATGGGGTGCTGTTTTCTAGTAATTTGAAAATAAAACTGAACAAGCCTGTGAAGGGACACGCTTAGGCTGTGCTGTTTGCAGCTTGCCCTGTAATCTCCCACCAATGCAATGTCCTGTTACCTCTGCAAAAGGAATCATGAGGTGGAGCATGCCACGTCCCTTTAGGCTTCTGGCTTCAGTCATTGCACTGTGTTATAGGCTGCCTATTGTCACAAGTAACAGACTTCTAACTGGAAATGTTGCAATAAGCTTATCTTCAGTGCTTTATAAACCTACTCAGTGCTCCAGGATGTTGTGGTACAAATTGTTAACATAATCATATTCTGTGTGTTGGTGAAGGAAACAGTGGTATCTGTTACTGTCACAGTAGTATCCTAAGGTTTTGAAGAAAGTTGTCAGGTTTGTACACTGAACTGAATATGAATCCTGAAGATTATAATAATATTTTTTAATGTCTGATTCCAGTAAATCACCTGTTTATTCTGATCTAGAAAATGGGGTAAAATTGTTCTAGAAACTGTTGGATAAATCTGTTAGAATCTGTTTCAAGTATGAAATATCTAGTCTTTTTAATAATCTATTGTGGGTTTTTTTTCCAGAAAATAAAGTTCAGTGTCAGGAGCAGAAAATACTAGAGTCCAAGAGACTGGAAAATCAACAGCAAGAATCTAGAAAGCAGTTAGATCAGATTAAACTAAACTGTGTTAGCACCAGAAAAAAATGGCCAGTTCAAGAAGCATCACAGAAAAGCTGCTATAGAGAGGTAAAGTAACAGGAATATGTTGTGCATGTAGCACCAGCCTTCACGTGTTGAAGAAATTAAAGAAATAAGAAATTAAAAGCTTGCTTTGTCCTTTGTAGAGAAAACCAATGAACCTTGAACAGTCTGGTCATCCCATTTCAAAAGGATTATCACCACCAGATCCTGTTTCTAAGAGAAGTGATCCATCACATGTTCGGGGAACACCAAGCACCACGTCTCATGACTATATGGCCTGGTAAGCCATGTCTCTGAGCTCCATGCTCATGAAGGGTAGGTGGTCTCTCGAAAGACTTAAGCAGGTTTTAATGGGGTTTCTTAAGTTTTTCTGTTCAGATAGCAAACATTCCATGTGCTTCTGTGAAGTGCCTGACTTTGAGATTCAGGTCGTATTTAGGGACCTTTGCCTTCTCTGTCAGCTTCTCAGTATTTGTATGTACACCATCACATCTGTGAGTAGAGCATTTACCTTTCTCTGACCCCTGCTATGTAATGCTTTCTTTTAGATGACTTTTTTTTTGACTGACAAGCCTTCTAGCTTGATAGCTCTGTATCAGTCTAGTTCCCATGATGCAAGTGTCTGAGGGTTTTTAAAAATACTGTAAGGAATCTAGAGGCTTGCAGAATTAAGCACTTAAACAAATGCTAGTATTTCCTAACTTATCTATGTGATCTTAAATTGTGCATAAACCCCTATGCCTATGTTGGCAAATCTTTATAATTATATGATTACTTACTATTTTCATAAGTCTCTGGGATGAATCATTTAGGTCAAAGTTGTATGCTGAGTAAGCACTGTTCTTGTTGGTAGGACCTGTCTCTGTAGCTGTAGAATTTAGAATATATGTAGGGAATGAAGTACATCATCTCATGAAGGAACTTGATAAAAGTAGCCCTTGAATAGTTTGGTTTTGCTTCTTTCAAACTTTGATAATACAGAAATTTTAAAAATTCTCATTACATGCAGTATGTATACACATGGTAAATATGCAGAATGGCTGAGTGCTTCTGTGTTCAATGAGAACCATCCTTTTGACTGGTTTTGTCCTTTTTTTTATTTTAACTTTTGGGATTTTACTCTACAAAAAAATTCTAGGCATATATATTCTTTTCCAGTTCTGTTCTTGGCATCACTTTCAGTAAATACTGTGGGGAAAAATAAAGTATATTTGGTAATATAAGTAAATAGATGTCAGACACATTGAGGGAACAAATGAAAAACCCATAGGATTTCTTTTGATCTTTCATTTTCTTAAATACATAATCTTTCTGCTCACATGCAGTATGAGCTAAAGTTCTTAAGGAAATCATGTGAGGATTTTTGAAGTTGTCTGTCTCAATATGCTTACCTAAAAAAAAGGTAATCTAAAAAGGTTTTAAATAAAAAACAATATGCTGGAGAGAACTAAGTGTGGCTCAAACTGTCTTGTGGTCAGCTCTTCTAGCCTTAGAGTGCTTTCATGTTTCAGTTGCTGGGAAGTGCCAGCTAGTGTCTGAAGATGGGGATTTAGTTAGTGTTTTAAAAAGTATTTTCTAAGTGTGTTATAGTTTCAGTTTACTTCTAAAGAACTTCTTGATTTGAAGGTGATGTGGTCTTAATGCTAATTATTGTATGTAGTGGAGGCTTGTGCTCTTGCTAGTCAATAGGGTTTAACTTGCAAGAAGCACTGAAGATTTCAACTTCGTTGTTAAAATAATCTTTAAAAAATAAAACTAAGTGCAGATATTGTTCATAATTTTCTTTAGTTTCAGCACACCAGTTGTAAAGAACAATTTTCTACCAGGAAGTCAAATTTCTACTCCCTACAGCCAGTTTCCTTATTATCTACCACATACTCCATCAACTCCGTTTCAAAATCAAACTGGCTTGCAGGTAACAATTTTAGGCTGTCTTCTGTCTTTTTTAAATACGTATTTTGATTGGGGACTACTTTAGGTAAAATGTATGTATATATTTTTTTAATCTAAAATTACTACTCATCTTTCTGGATGTGTAATGGAAAGTAATCTGTATTACTTATTCTCAAAATAACTTTCTTCATGTGTATGTCTGAATCTAGATGAAATAAGTCAGCTCTTGAAAAATCAGTTCAGTTGTGTCAAAATCCTGAAGCCTTTATGTCTGCAACCTAAGCCTTTTCAGATCCTACTTAATGACAGAGACAAGAACTAGAGTCTCTATTTTTGTTCTGCTTTTGTAGTGCTACTACCCACTACAGTGCAGTACCAATAAAGAGAAGCAATGTGTGTTGAAAACCATGAGTCTGAGGGAGGTAAAAAACCCAAAGACGTGCATGTCTCCTCCATTTTGTTAGATTTCATGAATTTGGATGCATTTGTTGTGGCCTGAGATCATGTAAAAATGGGTTACCTTACATGTGCTGCACATTCAGGTAGGAATCTTCCCAGCTGTAGATAAAACTAGGGGATAGGTTTAAGCTTCCTACTGGAGGATAAGTATTAATAAATTAATAAACAAAACTTGAGACCTTTCTATGGCTTGGTATAGCAGATATGGGCAAGACAGGCTGTTTCAGCTTCACAACACTGAAATCTCCTGGCTAGTAGTTACTTTAAAATAAAATAGTAGATGGTTTGAGTACAGCTCTCAATTGCATGCAGGAACTGAAAGTCTCTTAGATAATCTAGTTTCTGACAATATATGTGAAGAGGGAGGTGTTTCTAATGGTCTGGGAAGCCTTGTTAAAGAACATCCTTTCCTTGATTTCTGTTGTGAAGAGCATTGGTATCTTTTGCAAGAGTTCAGTGGTGTTATGTTCCAAGTGATGATCATTATATAAATACTTTTGTTTTAGGGATCTTTTAGCTTTCATTTAAAGTTTAGCTTTACTGCTTGCAAGCAGTTTTATCCTGTTCAGAAAGACCAAGACAACTTAAAGCATTTTAACTTAATAAACAATAGAACCTCTACTAAGTTCTGTTGCATGTACACCAGTAGTTATTTCTAACCTTTTCTGTATGTACACAGGTTCCAGCTTCTTTACCTTCACACGAATGTCTTGCCATCAAAGGAAAAGTTTATACAGTGTTAAAGCAAATAGGTAGTGGAGGCTCAAGTAAGGTAAGATGCTCCTTTATCCTTTTAGGCAATCACTTGTTGACACAGTAGTAGTTGTATTGTAAACTCACATGATGAGTGCATGGTACTAACATGTACAAAGTGTTTGACCCAGAGAGTCTAGAAATTTGCTGTTTTATTTAGACTTTTTGCTTTTGAAGATAATTTCTATGGTAGAGTGAGCATTAAAATTCCTAATAAAATCAGCTCTTCTGTTGTAAGATGTGCTGTAAGATTATGTATGTCCTAATGTGAGGGGCTGTAATTAAGGGCAATGTATTAACATGGTTGAGAAATGAGTGACTTGTAAGGTTGATTGAGAGTTCCTGAAGTGAAAAGATCATCTCTCACTATTTGTGTAACTTGTGTGAGGAGCAGAGTTGTAGCTATGTCTGAAGTGGTGAGTGAGCAGCTTTTTATAAGGAAATCTGGGCTCATGGGAGCTTGGGAAATAATTTTGCCAAAATCTCTTGGTTTTGTTACAATTCTTTATTTTCTTAACAACATAAGCAGTTTTGCTGTGGAGGACTGTGTCCAAGGCTTTACAGAAGTCCAGATAGATGACATCTGTAGCTCTTCCCGAGTCCACTGATGTAGTCCTTCTGTTACAGAAGACCACTGAGTTGGTCAGGCAGGACTTGCCCTTGGTAAAGCTGTACTGCCTCTTTCAAATCACCTCCCTGTCCTCCATGTGCCTTTGCAGAGCTTCTGGGAAGATCTGTTCCAAAGGCATCAAATTAGTTAGAGATCTTTCCCTTTGTGAACCCATGTTAACTGTGCCTGATCATTGCATTGTCCTTTAAATGCCTTTAAGAAGTACCCAGGATGAAATTCTCTGTAACTTTTCTGGAAACTGAAGTTAGGCTAGCAGGTCTGTAGTTTCCTGGGTCTTCCCTCATGCCCTTCTTGTAAACTGGAATACTATTAGCCAGCTTCCAGTCAGCAGAGACCTCTAGAAAGAAGAGCTTTCTGTGTTGGCAGTGTACAGTTGTAGAATGGGGTAGCCTGGCAGGGGCCTCTGCGTGTCACTTTGTCTAATAGTCTGCTTAAAGCAAGGCCAAAATAGAGCAGGCTGCTCATCTCACAACCTTTGTTGGACCTCATGGTTTTTTGCATTTAAGTCTTGAGTATTGCTTAGGATGAAAATTTCACAACTTTTCTGGACAAGCTGTTTTCCTGTTGGACTACATGGCGGTGAAAAAATGTCCAGATATTTAACTGTAATTTTTCTTGTTAGCTGTGTCTGTTGCATCTCGTACTTCAGTGATTCCTGAGGAGTCTTTTTCATACCTTCCCTTTAAATACCTGAAGACAACAGTAAGATTCCTTGTACCCTTCTCATTCTAAGACTGAACAGATTTGGTGCTTGCAGCCTCTTATGTACCATGTGGTCTAACCTCTAAATGATCTTGGTATGACAAAATGAATGTGCACTGGCAGATCAAACCTGTATCTCTGGGAAGTGTAATTTTGTAATCTTCATGTTAGGAACACTTCAGACTTGTGATGTACTACATCTAGTGAAATACAATGTGGCACCAAGATGGTTTCTGGTAGAGGATTGTTTCTTTTGTAAGTGGTGCCTTCTTTATTGATTTTTTTTTCCTTCTTCCTGCTGACTTGTGTGAACTGCTTTGCATTGCTTCTTCCTTTTGAAAAGGTACACTTTTTCTTTTGATATTCTGACTGTGCTGAGATCAAGGACCATAGTAAATCAGAACTAGGAATGTATGAAGTTATTAACTGATGCTGTTTTGCAGGTGTTTCAAGTACTGAATGACAAGAAGCAGCTGTATGCTGTCAAATATGTGAATTTAGAGGAAGCTGATCAACAGACTGTTCAGAGCTATAAGAATGAAATTGCTCATTTGAGTAAACTGCAGCAACATAGTGATAAGATCATTCGCCTTTATGGCTAGTGAGTAAACACTAGTTTTGTTTAGCCAGTGTCTTTCTATAAAAAGATATTTCCTTAACTTTTAACATAAGTATATATATTTTTTTTTAGTGAAATTACTGATCAACATATCTACATGGTAATGGAGTGTGGAAATATCGATCTCAATAGCTGGCTTAAGAAGAAAAAAAACATTGATCCATTGGAACGAAAGAGCTATTGGAAAAATATGCTGGAAGCTGTTCACACAATCCATGAATATGGTATTCTTAAATAATTCTCGGTATCTGTATAGCTTATGTGGCCGAAAATATGAATGTGTTCTAATTTTGGAGGTGGTATTGTTCTTAATATTGGTATAAAGTTAGTGATGTTCAAAGATGGGTATTTACTGTATTGTGGAAAAAAAAAATCAGTGAAACAAAAGACAAAGGTAAATCTTGATGCCAGGCAGACTTCGCTAACTCAAGGGGGATCTACAAATAACACCATTTGTGTAATGCTTTTTGTTTCCTTACAACAACCAGAAAATATTTTCTGTATTGTACTACAGTGTATACTCCAAATTCTACTTGTTCTCCATTAGATTCAAATTCTAGCCACTCATTCTATCCAAAAGAAGCTTTGACATTAATGGCAGCTAATACGCAGCATTGTCATCTTTACTTTGACAATGTGTCAGCTTCTTCTTAGTTTTTCAGTCCTTCCTTTCATCTTTACCTACGTCATTGAAGTGTATACATCCGTATTCTGTTTGGCTGAATAACATAAAGGAGAGGGCAGATTTGGATCCTTTTCCTATTTAAGAAAAGAGTGAAGACTAGTGCATATAGCAGAGATCATCGCTTCTTTTCAGCACTAGAACATTCAGTGATGTGGCAAACAGCAAAACCTACTAAAATTCAGGCTACATACATACATGTGATGTCTTTGAAACAAACCGTTTTGTAAAATATCAAGATGGATTGGTTAATTATGTAGATAATAACCAAAATTCTTAAGTTATATAAGTCAGTCATTTGAGAAGTCAGTCACGTGTACTCCTCAGTGAATGGTTAGACTAAGCAATAATATTCTTTTATTTAGAGTACCTGCTTAGCTAATTATTTGAGAGAAAGCTACAGGCCACTGAATTGCTCCAGAGCAGAATTTTGGTGCAGCAGCGTGCACACAGAGCTGGAGGGCCTGTCCTGAACTGAAGGGAACTGCAACTCAAATCTCTTGGAGCAGTTTTGGAGTTCCTGCAGATTTGAATAAGTAATAATTAAAAGTGTAAACTCACAGAAGTTGTAACTGTTTAAAAAGAAATGGAAGCATTTTAAGGAATCTGCAGAGAATAATTTGGTTTTGGCTGGTTAAAGCTGATCTGCACCTTCTCTCTGTGCAAGAGTTATGGGAATTCAGAATAGAAAACGCCATTATATATCTTGGATTGACTAAACCTGGATTTACTTTAAATTTTTTTTACAGGCATTATTCACAGTGATCTGAAACCAGCAAACTTTCTGATAGTTGATGGAATGTTAAAACTAATTGACTTTGGCATTGCCAACCAAATGCAACCAGATGTGACAAGCATCATTAAAGATTCTCAGGTGAAATACTTTTGGAAAATCCACATGCACTTTTCTGTAAAGTGCTATAGTACCTGCTGATAATTTTGATTATTGTAATAACTTCAATTAATATTGAAATTTTATGCTGAATGGTTTTATATGTGTATATAAATATTCATGTATATGGATTTTTACATGTTTTTATTGAACAGAATAACAATGGCCTTCAGCTGTAATAGAAACAAATTTTTAATATGCTCTTCAGTGTTTTGGGACAAAAATCTAAGTTTTTATTAAGTGAGTTCAGTTTAATGCATGCTTCACTTAAAGGAATGGTTTTACCTTTTTATGACTAGGTTGGGACAATGAATTACATGCCACCTGAAGCAATAAAAGATATGTCTTCCTATGGAGAAAATGGGAAGTCTCGTTCTAAGGTAACATGGTCTTTTTTATCCTATTCCCTCCATGTCAAGAAGAAAGTAATTCAGTAATGTATCTTAACACTTAGTTTTCTCAAATCTTCCACTGAAACTTGAACACAAGAAAATTCTTTGTGCTGTGATGATGGTGGGCAGAGATTGAAGGCTAAAGTTAATCTCCCTAACTACTTTACATTTTGCAGATAGAGTTTAGAAAAATATAAGTACTCAATGAATAAGTAAAATTGAAAGTAAAACAGATGCATTAGAGTAAAACAGTCTTGGGCATTAGAGGAGCTAATAATAAAATGATAATATCTAAACTGATAATAAACACAAATATTTTAAAATCAATTTTTATGGAGAAATATAAGAGTTCCACTATGTTATCAGTGTGAATAGCATCAAACAGTAATATACAGTGAAATACTTGAGCCTTTCACGTACCAGAGGTTGTACTGATGACTTATGTTAGAAATGTTTTTTGAGCATCTTAAGAGCCCACCATGCTGTGCACCTCTGAAATCACTCCAGGCTAGAGTTTTCAGGGTGTGTTTCTGGGAGGATCTTCCATGGAGTCACATGAGAGAATCAGTCCTCAATTACTTCTTGGTTCCCTGTTGTGCTGCTTATGTCCTTTTGTTTTAGCTTTATTCTGCCAAGAATTGTGAAGCTCTTATGGTACTGTTCACTGCTACACAGCTGCATTTCAGCATTCTGCATCAATAACCTTGGCTTAGAAAATTCTTTCTGAAAGCAAGAAAATTTACTTTCTGATACAGACCATTGTTAGTATGTTTGCTTAAAACAAGTTATGATGATGCTTGTGTCATCGTCATATTTTTTAGTTCTTTTGAGCGAGGGGCAGGTCTTGCAAGTAGTGAATAATACCTAATAAAGTCTTTCAAAAGATGATACAATGAAGTCTAGTATTTTAGGGCCACACGTACAAGTTCTGTGTATCCTATGAATTTTTCTATGCTACAGAATACTGTGAATTGTAGAAATTTTTATAACATGACCAGGGCAATGGAATGTGAATGATGAGGAAAGTACTAAAGGGAAGCATTTTTACACTGGCAGTCAAACTTCAGTTAAGGGGTACACAGTTAAGTGAAAAAGTATTTGAAAAAAAGAAATCCATATGTACGTGCATGTACACAAAGACTAACTTTTTTTAACAGTTGAATGGAAGTTGTATTACATAGTGAAATGCAATCTTGTCTTTCTAAACACAGGATAGAATATCTTATAAGTGGATTTTGTTTAAGAATGATACTTTTTACCTTCTTTACCCTTTTAAAAATTGCATGCAAAGTGCAGGAACTCAGCTCATCTAAGCAAAAATGTAACCACTGTACTGGGAGTCAGGTTCTCTGTGGTTTCCCCATGTCCTTCCTCTCCCCCACTCTGTGTGCTTTTCTTAAAGTACTTCAGCTTCAACAGGAGAAGTGGAGAGTCGTCCTGCAAAGAACATCCGGGGTGTGGTGGTTGAAATATGGATCTGAATCCTTGAAACCCCAAGGAACTGAACTGTGGCTTTCAACTTTAGGGACATAGCTGTGGTGTCTCACTGTTTTCTGGATTGAATTAATTTAGTATGCTTTTACTTGTGTTTATTTATAAATCTAAAATTAGAATTCTGCTGCTCAGCTTGTTAAGGACTAACTTTAATTTTATTTTAAGTTAGTTCTTCAAGTAAGTTGATTTTCAAAAATAATAAGAATAGCTTTCTTATGGAATATCAGTGAATGATGCCACATCACTGTCTTAGTAGATAATGGCATGCTGCCTTGGCGATTTTGTGTGATAGTTACTAAGATGTGTTATCCAATGGAAAGTGGATATGCTGTTAAATGAAATGACTGTACAATTACATGATAAATTGACTGAAAGGAGCAGTTTCTTAAGTGAGAAGTAATCTTTAATTTTTTTTTTTAATATTAGATAAGTCCCAAAAGTGATGTGTGGTCATTGGGATGTATTTTGTACTGCATGACATATGGAAGGACTCCGTTTCAACACATAACAAGTCCAATAAATAAACTACATGCTATTGTTGATCCCAGTTATGAAATAGAATTCCCAGATATTCCTGAGAAGGATCTTCAAGATGTGCTGAAGGTAACTTTCCCTTAAGGTTAATTTTAATTTAAATAATGGCAATTTCTTTATTTAAAGCGTATTTTCTAAAACTAAATGAGTTGTACTTGAGAGACTTTTTTCACAAATAAATGCTCACTGCTACTTGTAGTAACAGATCTTATTCCAAAAGAAGATTTAATGAAGCTAGAGTTACTTCATCTACTTTCCATATTAAAGTCTATTTTCAGCTTAATACCAAATAAATAAATACTTAAAGTGGTCTGACTTAACTCCTTTGGCTCCAAGTAAATACAGTCGTTTTTGTACTTGCCATCCCTTTCCCTCACCCTGCATATTTGCCTGCTTTTTGCATACTTGTTTGTGCTTTTACTCGCCCTATTTGTGTTGCTCAGCAGGTAACAAACTGAAATCCAGAAACACTTATCCCCTTAACTTTCAAATTTCATTGTCATTTTGTGTAGTTTGGCAGTAAGAAGTTTTGACATGCATCTATGGGGTCTTTTAAATGTCCTGACTGTTAATTTGTAGGAAAATTCATAATTTATAGGTAAAGCATTCTTCCTCTTTTTTTCATTTCCAGCGCTGTTTAATAAGAAATCCTAAACAAAGAATATCTGTTTCGGAGTTGTTGGTGCATCCCTATGTTCAAATTCAAAGTCATTGTCAAACAGGTACATTTATTTGAAAATGCATTTTATTGAATAATATTTATATCTGCTTAAAAAAGGCTTTACTTGTATATGTACTTTACACTTGTTGTCATAACTCAGTTTTATGTGGTGCCTATGTCTGCTTCAGAAAAGACTTCAGTATATTAGTTCTTAAACCTCTTAAAAAGTGCACTGGTAACGTATACAACTTCAACATAATTATAAATTAACTGCAGATGTCCCGAGTGCAAAAGGAACAACAGAGGAAATGAAACGCATCCTTGGCCAGCTTGTTGGCTTGAATTCTCCCAACTCTATTTCTAGAGCTGCAAGGGTAAGTAAATTTTCTATTTTTTTTTTTTTTTTAATATGAGGGTGAACAAATAATTATCCTTTTAACAATATCATGATGTTTGTAACCACTGATTTTCATATCATATAAAGCCTGCCCACCCTGAGTAGACAAATACCTCTCTCCTTCCATGCTGGTGTTTCCATATCAAAGACAAGTAATGGAGTAAACTTGATTTTAAATCTCTGCAACTGGTTGGTTCCCTACTGACTTGTGAAGCTCTATAACTTTGCTCGCACTGCTAATTCAGCACATCTGTCTTCTCTTAGGCACTCTTTTGCATTACAACTGGTACAACTGAGCTGTCTTAAAACTGTATTTTTATTTTCTGGAGAAATTCTGGTGTGGAATACCTTAGTATGTGATTCATATCAAGTGGCAATGTTTGTTATGTGGTTTAAATCCATGTGCAATGCAACTGCGTTCACCTGAATAATTTGTGTGTTTGTTGACTTTCAGACTTTATATGAACAGTGCAACAGTGGTAAAAGTCTTGATGTATCAGCATTTGCGGAACTTGGCAGCCAAAAAACACGGACGACAAAATGATGTACTACAGTTCAGGATGCAACACGTTTGGTCTGTTTGATAAGTATTTTGTGCTGCTGGCTTTTAAAGGACACTCAGCATGAAGTTTGCATTTTTATATGTTCCTTGTGTTCTTTTGATAATGCTTGCAGGTCATTAAAAAGAATTTAATTGAATGATTTTCACCATGGACTCTTTCACTCCTTGAATACTACTTGGGTTGAACAAAGACAATGGCTACTTGGTGATTATAGTCTGTTACTTACAAAGCACTACAGTGTCTGGAGTACAAAAACTTGTATAAGAATCTGAGTTCTCTTATCCCTCTGAAGCTAAAATTAAAAAAATTCCAAAAATACCAATTGATGTACACAAAAACCATGTAAATATCTCTTGAGATCTCCTATGGCATAAACAGAGTGTTATGCTTTTCTGTCCTTTGCCAGGAAATACCTTGTGTCCAGTTTTGACTATAACTAAGGGAATAAGCACTCTGTATAAGCCATCAGTTATAATACTGAGAGAGGCATTAATGATAGATATAAATGTCACCCAGTTTTTGAGCTGTTCCTGTGGTTAAGTGGTATGATGGAAGCATCAGTGCTGTTATGAATTTATATGAATAAAATGGCTTTTGTTCTATTAAAAATGCTACTATAAATCTACTATGCTTTTCCAATTCCAAAATAATAGAAAACCCTTCAAGATTCATGATGGTCAGAAATCACTAATTTGGATTTTTAAAAGCTTTAATACTAACCACACTCTAAATTGCACTGAATGTAGCAGAACTGTTTTTTACTGTGATTCTTATTGGATTCTTTGAGGTTTGTTTTAACTCGTTTACAGCTGATGAAAATGTATGAATTTTAGATTTATTTAGATAATTGAAAGATGTTAAAATAATGACCAATAATTTTAAATTGGAACAATAACTTCAGTTTCATGACAGTTGCCATGTTGTCTCAAACACTGGAGTGCAAGTCAAGTACCTGGAGATTCTTTCTGACTCTGTGGTGGAGGTGGATGTTCATAGTAGTTCCACCATCCATAGGCTGCCTGGCAGGTCAGTTGTCTGGGGCTGGGAGAGAATCCATTCTTGCTGCCGGAATTTTACTTTAGCCAACACATCTTGCTCCCTTGGGAAGATATGGCTGGAGTTCAGAGAATTCTAATAATCTACTTTGAGCACTGTAAAATACTGAGTGGTAGTTTGATATTCTAAGGATATGGGTATTGTTCTTGAGAACTTTTGGGTTGACCCTATAAAAGGGGAACTGCTACAGCCATTGCCATGTGTATTAGCAGGGCTGAGAACTTTGTTCTCTTTGTCTAGGTAAGATTATCTTATAGGAATAGGCATATTTTGCTGTGTGCTCTCTTCTGCTTGCCATTAGTGTTTATGGAGAATCACTGTTGTCAACATCTGTTAAATGAAATGCATTACTTTTTATACTGGAATGCAGCTCTTTCTGCAGTAGTCCCGATACAGAATGGCAGCTGTGCTTTGCATGATTCTTCAGCTCACAGCATAACCATTTTCCATGCTTGCATACTGAGCAGTAATAGTTTATTAGTATCACTCAGAGCCCTATCACAATGTCTAGGTCTGGAGTTAAAGAAATTTATAGATCTGGAGCAAAGAACAGAGATATTTACAATTCACTACCTGGACAGCAATACTGGAGGAAAGACTTTATTTCAGTGTGTTCTTGCTATCTTTCCTGCCACTGATTTAACACTGTTGGATGATTTTATGGCCTGTAAGAACTGAAGAATGAAAGAGAAGAACATGAGAGAGAGCACAACATGGAACTCATAAGAATTGTATTTTTTCCCCCAAACTTTAGTAGCTTTGCTTTTCAAATGAGGTTTTCAGAGCTTGCTAATATAATAAAAGCACTGCTTGATAGAAGGGAAACTTTGTTCTTAATTATTTCATATTAAAAACAGCACAACTATTTGAAGAAGTAGCTTTTAAAAAAGTCTTTAATGAAGAATTGTATATCTGTAATTTTATCAGACCTCAGCTTAACGTCTGTGTTTCAAAACTCTGTGCCCTCACCTTTATAGGCCAGTTAGGCCTATCCTCCTATGATGGAGCAAATGCTTGTAAAAGAGCTTTATTCTTTGTTCCTGTGTCTGTTCAGCACCTGCCCTCCCTTGTTTCAGGTTAAGAGAGATTTTCCACTTTACACAGAGAATATGATAAGGGGTGGGAATTATTCCTGGTAGCAGGCTGGTCTGGGAGGAGGGCTGAAGCAGGGGACACAGAGAATGTGTGGTCACCCCAGCGTTGGAGCACAGGCAGGAACAGCACATCTCCCTTGTAAGGGCAAACTTGGAATGATAAACTTAACTTTGTTGTTGATCTCATTGTCATTATATGAAACAGAGTGTGGAATCTCAAGTAGTCATCTGTTGGGGTAGAAGGTAATTATCCCATATTTCTAAGGAAAAAGAATTTTTCCCTTTAATGGTCTTGTTCTTTCTGAATTTTTTTTTTATCCCAGACTTTAATACATAATGAATACAAATGCTAGTGGTACTCCAGTTGTCTGTTTAGTATTTATATAAGTTCTCAAGCTTACAACTAATGAGGAAAAATGTTATTGTTCTACACATTTCATATTCTAAACTGTTTGGGAGACTACTTACGGTATGGGAACTGAAACACAATTTCTGGCATTCTCAGGAGAGGGAGGAGAGTATCAGTCTCTTCAGGGAAAACCTTGTGAAGAAAATCTTTACAGAAACATCTTTTCAAGTAGTTGTTATTGAAATGTTTCCCAACTACTTGTCTAGATTACAGATCTTGAAAAATTTCTGCATAATTATTCTAATGTTGTAATTGTTATCTTTTGCCGGTTTTGCTTCTCTAGTTTGTGTTGAATATTGAGAAGCAGTGCTGCATGCCTTATTTTTCTGTTGTACTGTATGGTTTATCAAACCTTTCTTTTATTGCATGACTGCTAAAGAACCCACAGGAAATATAACTGGTGTGAGAAGGAGCTTATGAAAGAGGCCTCGGGCTGATGAGAGGCAGTGGGTTGTTATCAGTCATCCCTTTTAAATAAGTTTCTTCCATTGCAAATGAGTAATTGATTTATAGTTCTTCCCCACATCAGTGATATGCTACAAGATGTCTGTCTACGTTGGCAGCTGCCACTTACCAGTCTTCAATCTATTCCAGGGTTTTTTTCTGCTTTACAAATGTCCATCTCCCTTCTCAGATTCTCCTGGATCTGAAAAGTGTACAGAATAGCTATGTGTGATTAGCTTTAAAGAACAGAAAATACCAGAACTACCATCTTAAATGTCAAGTAACAGGTAGCTATCTGAAGCTTTCTCAAGGTTACAAAATGCCCATTGTGTATTACTGTCACCCTCAAGGCCATGTTTCAGGACATTTTGTGTGTATAAAATGGGAGGGAAGATGGCTGACTAAACTAGAGTATATATCTCTCTCTCTAAAATACTGTATCAGCTAATATTGAGTTACCACAGCTACATGAAGAGTAGAAAAGTAAATTCAGCTGACACTAAAAAAACCTAACTGCAGAAGGGTGACTTGCTTTTTTATTTATGGGTGGGTATAGCATAACTCAGTCTCTAGCTTCCTCATGAAGGGAAGAGGAGGCTGGAGGGGAAGGCACTGATCCCTTCTCTCTCGTGACCAGTGACAGGACCTGAGGACATAGCCTCAAGCTGGGTCAGGGGAGGTTTAGGTTGGATATTAGGATAAGGTTCTTCACCCAGAGGGTGGTTGAGCGCTGGAACAGGCTCCCCAGGGAAGCAATCATGGCACCGAGCCTGAGTTCAGGTTGCATCTGGGCAAAGTTCTCAGGCACATGGTGATTCTTGGAGTGGTCTGTGCAGGGCCAGGAGTTGGATTTTGATCCTTGTTGGTCCCTTCCAACACAGGACATTTTATGATTCCATGATTCTATGATTCAGCCTGACCAGCTGTATGATTAGTTGGAATTCAAACACTAAATGGAGTTCAAGTTTTGAAGGCTCTGCTCTTGTAGTCTGTCTTGGTGTGGCAACACCTAGAATTGAGTCCTTGACAAATATAAGAAAAGGAGGCTGCTTGCTTGCTGCCTCTCCCAGGACACATGACCAAGGAGCAAGACAAATCTATGCACAAATCTATCCTCATGGTGCTGGAGGAGTCAAGACTCCTGCTTATCTAGCCTTGGGGAAGGAACTCTAAGGTCCTACTGCTGAACATGTGGCTAGGAAATGGTTAAATCCCAAACAATCGAAAGTGCAGAGCAGTGTATGAGTTAGTCTGAGGGAAAGTGGTCAAATTGTTGCTCTGCTTTAGTCACTCCTGTGTGTTTCTGTTCTTTCTTTAAGCCCCTGATGTTGGTTTCATGCTAAACAGTTAGCTGATTCTGGGAATGGTGATAAGTATCAAGTTGAAGTAAACTTGAGTTCTAGTACACCCCTAGAAGTCTAACTTACTCCTGAACTCCTCAGCAAGGGTCACTGGCCAATCCTGGCAGATGCCAGTTATGGCAACTAAGTACTAAAAACTGCTTGCTTCTCCCTTCTGGTTGTCTATGTTCTTATTGCCTTGCTGGTCCCTCAGTTTTGTGTGAGTTCTGAGCAGCAAGGCTAAAACAAATACTACTTTATCATATTTCTCTCTTTGACACTCTTATGGTTAAGACACATCCTGTTTCAGCTAATAGAGAAGTATTTTCTCTTCTTGCTGGATGCGTGTATCTCCTCCCAGTTTGGTTATCTGTGCCCACCTGCCAAGAACATGAAGCTTTGTCAGGGAGCTGGTATAGTGTGCCCTTGTTTGCTTGCTGCTTCACATAAAGTAATTAAGAGAGAAATCTTGCAAGATAAAGGCCATAAAGAATGGAGCAGGCAATGCAGTATGATTTACTCATAGGAGATAGAGGTGTACACCTGTATGGGCACAGAAGGAGTCTTTGTACAGCCTACCCATACACTTTCATGGGAGTTGCTGAAATGAAACCTGAGATAAAAATCTGACTTCTCACCTCAATTCCTCCCCTTGGCAAGTAGAATATCCACAGCTAAACGTGATGCAATTCCAACATGCTGGCTCTAATCAGATGAGTTGCTAAAATCCAGGCAGCTTTTGCAATGAAAGATATGACTAATTTAATGTGGAATAGTGGTACTACTATTCTGAACCCTGAATAAACACAAGGAATAGGTCAGTTATTACACAGTCTCAGTCCATTAGTCTTAACTCTTACAGTATTGTAAGGATCTCTGCCTTGTCTCTATACCCACTTAATATGCAAATTATGTTATAAGTGCAGGTAAGCTTTGAATAGCTGATTGTTACATGCTCTATCTATGTCTCAGGTTTTTTCTCTATCTTATATAGCTGTTGAAAACCAATTAAAAATACAATGAAGTAACTATATTTAAGGAGTTAGGTTGATTCTTGCTTCCTTTTTAATCTTGGATAGAATCATTTAGGACCTTTAAGATCAAGTCTAACTGAACCTAGCTCTGCCAAATCATGGCTAAAATATTTCTGTGAGTCTTATCTCTTTACATTTCTTGTCTCATCTGTTCAGAGTTTGGCAGAAAGCTGTTCAGTGCCATGAACCCGTACAGCGCTGCTTGTGTTCAGTGACTTGGCGGGGGATAAAGCTCTTGATGCTGCTATTGCAGAGAGGCATCGTACTTCGAAATATTCTTAACAGGCATAAAATTTGTCATCCACATGGTGTTTGGATGTTCATGCAATGGGCATGATATGCAGACACGCAGTTCTGTGCAGCAGAAGGCAGTGAAGTCTCCTCCATGGTGGCTGAGGAACACTGGGCACTGCAGCAGCTGCTGTGCGATGGAGGGAATCCTGAGCCATCCACTAGGAAGCACTGACCAAAATTTCAGTAAGGGACCTCAGTAATGAGACAAGCAGGAGTCTTACCTCTTCAGCAGGACTTGGGTACCTGACTCAAAGGTGAGTGGTTGCCTGAATCTTTTAGTCTAATCTTGGGACTTAGCAGAGGTCCAGCAATGCAAATGTAAAGACATTTCCTAACTGGTGTGGGGGGGGCAATGCAAATGTGAACAAAGAATTGGTTTTAGGGAGATCAGATGAATATCCAGAGAAATCCTGGCTTTTGTCATGTATTTTGCCTTGAGTTAGAGGATGCTTCTGTTGCTGCTCTAGCTTCTTCTCTGGGAAGAGAAGATTGACAGAAAAACCAAGTCGCCTGCATCAACGTTCAGAGCTGAGGAACTCAGAAATTTTTGTGTAAGAGCCATGCTCTGTTAAAGGTAAGTCCAAGGAACAATTTGAAATTGATGTGCAGCTTTTTAGGACAGTTGATAAAGCTCTCTGGGCCCAGGTGGTATTGACTGCAGAAGTCTAAAGGAGTTTCCAATAGATGTTCTAGAGGTCCTGTGGGATTTTTAAATTAGCCTTAGGAACCCAGAAATGGAAGGTAGTAAATGTGATACTGGTCTTCAAGCATGTTGGAGCTTGTAAATTAGACTACTAAATATGCCTTCCATAGTAAGTAAAGCCTATGTTGCCAGAACATGAAGAAATTCACATGGGAGGAATGTATCTTAATATACATCTAACACAAGGGGCTTTGGAGTGGTATTTGGGGAAGGTTCTTCTGCATTATGCATAGTTCCCTGAAAATGTCTGCCAAACCCTTGTACCGAAGGACCTAATTAGGCTATTAATTAATGGGAAAGGAAGAGAACACAACAAATTATTGGTGTACTGCTACATAAATGCATTTGGTTTGAATGCTGTCTGCACTCCCTGAAAAGGATCTAATAAAGCTAGAGAATATAGAGAGAAACAGTGAAAGGGTCCAAAGAGATGGAAATTACTTCCATACAAGACTAAAGGCTGTATGACTTCCTTAGGAAAATGT